AAAAAATAAAGTTTTCAGATTTATTCTTCAAGCTAACCTCTTGCTGACTGCTTTGAATCCTATCTTTTGTGTTTTCTTTCTAGAGTTCACAGAAGCCTCATGCTACAGGACTTTCAGACTTCCTATAACGATTTCTTTAATGTTTTGTCAGATGTAAAGTGCTGCTGTATTCACAGATCAATACAGGTCCCTCTCTCTGGCAGAAGTGTCCTGTGGGTGTGTATTGCTTGCACATAAGGAGACAGAGGAACTATAGCAAGCCATGGCAGTACCTCCTCTTGCTTTCACTGAAGTTGTCCAGGTTCACAAATGCATCATGTAGTTGACAGTGTGGCTGTGACACTTTTCAAGCTTAAATCATCATCCCTCCTGCTTAGGTTTGGCCATTAAAACAAAACTGAGGATTGGTTGAGAGTAGAAGCAATGTAATCTAGTGAACAGTAGAGCTTTTCTTTTAGAGCAGTAGTCATTTATTTGGAAAACCAAAATAGGCTGTAGTTGCCAACATCCATTTTTATTTATTTGAAGCACCCTTACCATGATGGTCTTTGAAAGAGAGGAGTGCTGACCTTTTTTAAGCAATAAAAGCCCTAATCCTATTACAAGCTTGTCTCTGTCTACAGAAATCAACCCTAGCCTTTTACATAAAGCTACCAAAATGAGGGGAGGGTGGTGATCTCTTCTCACTGAAGAACAGCTGATTCTGCAGACCCTTCAGAAAAATAAAATAACAAAAACAAAACAAACAAACAAACAAAAAACCCAAAACCAAAAAAACCAACCTGTGTAACTTGAGTGTTTTTCACACTGGAGGATAACAAAAATAGTTGACTATAAAAATCTTTGTGGTAGGGAAACTGCTGCATCAAAATATTTTGCCTTGGCTCATGCATGTTCAAGTTAAGGCAGTACTGTTTTCTGAGGGCATTTCACTGGAAACTTGGCATTTTTGTTAGGTCTGAATACTGTGGATTCTCTTTTTCTTCTTGAAGCTGGTGTGTTTTGTGCCAGCTAGCTTTGCTTTCATGTTTTTGAGGTGCAGTTGCACAAGGAAAGATGCAGATAGTTAACATGGGACCACACTTCCTCAGAAGTGCAGGTTCCCCATCCGAGTGTGTGTCATGCAGGTGATGTTTGCATTCGTGGTTTCATCACTCGTGGCTCTTTTGGAAGAGAAAAGTCTTTCCAGATGAGGAAAGACTTTTCCTCACACTTCCTTTTAAGTGTGACTTGCCAAGCTCTCTCTTGCAGTGGGCACCAGACATTTGTTCCAAACTGATGTGGATGCAGTTCTCCAAAAGCTATGTACGTGTGGCTAACTTCAGATTTTGATTTAGCTCCTCCCTCCCAGAAGCTGTTTAAGTATCCCCCTCCCATATGTGGCAGAGATGTACAGAATCCACAGAGATAACGTTGGGTTTAGCTCACTTCTCACTCTGATATATAACTGTTTTTTTCCCCGACAGTGGTGTCCTCCAACTGAATTGTTCTGCAATATGTTTTTTGAGGAAGAATCTCAGATAAATTCTTTTTGACTTACTTCCATGTGTTCCCAGTAGTGGTGCTTTCCTAGATCCTTCTTGTGTAGATGTCCATTTTACTGTTACTGGGAACCCAAGCATCTGTGAATTTTGTTTTTGGAGAAGATGAAGCTATTTGATTTGACAGCTGTCAGTTTGAGATGTGTGGTTCCTTCTTGTGATATTTCAACAAGCGTTTTGAGAGAAGCTCTTCATGTGGCCAAGGTTATCATCCGTAAAATATTACTGCTTGTATTCATTTATTTAAAAAAAAATAATAAATTGGTAGTACTTTCAATATTGGTTGACTTTTTTCCTGCAAACATTGAATATATGGGATGATGTAGTTTCCACTGATGACTGTGCCATACCTTAAATCTCATCCAGATTGGTGTATAGAATGAATTGTTTGTGGGCCTTAAATACATGTTCAGACTGGCTTTGGGACTTATTTTGTCCCATGTCCCAGCTGGAGATATCTCCATACAGCCAGTAACTAGTGAAGCTCTCTGGAGCAGTGCAGAGGTGCCAGGCAGCAGGTTTGTATTAACCTTGTTCAGTCAAGCAGCAAAAATTTCTTAAACCAGCCAGTCTTTAATACTCAAAGCAACTCTCCACAGGGGTGTGTTTATTTTGTTCCTATCTTGAAACATTGAAGTAGACAGGGCTTGGGTGTTTGTCTCCAGAGCAGTTGCAGTAGACCTGTTGGTGCTCTGGTGCTTGCTGTGGGTGCCTCGCTCCTGTCCTCAGCCATGGTAACCACCAGAGTGATGCTGCAGAGTCACACTGAGTGCCCAGGGGGATCAGTGTCCCCCTCTGGGAGCTGAGGTGTCCAGAATCTTCTCTCAGTGTGTCTTCTGTGGTGCACTGTGCAGGTATTTGCATGATTTAAAATGCAGCTACAGTTTTGGGGTGCTAGAGATGGTCTTGTGGTGGCTGTTCTGTTCTTCAGCAAGTATGACTGGTTCAGTAATTCTGAGTCTGGTCTCTTTTCCAAACTGAGGCTTTAATGTCCTGAGTGGAAATCTTAGATCCAAAGATTTGTATGTGTATGTCTCTAATAAAGATGTTTCTCTGTGAGGTGGTTCACTAGGACCCTTTATTGTTACTGGAGAAAAATAAGCACCTTTGGAGTTTGGTTCTTACCCTCAAGTGGATATGTAGCGAGGGCAGACCAGTTTTATCCTGCAGGTACAGAGAGCCTGTGTGACTGGCTTATGTGTAAATTACTACTTCATAAACATCTAAACCTGGAGGAGATTAATTGTATCCCAGTTTTTTGTTGTTTTTTTTTTTTTTTTAACTTTTTTTTTTTTTTTTTTTTTTTTTTTTTTTTTTTTTTTGGATTTCTGAACATTCCTGTTGTGTTCTTTGCCTGCCAGAGGAGCTGCTCCTGAGTGGTTTCAGCTGATGGGCTTTTAACTTACACTCTGCCACCATTTGGAGTTCAAGGATTATATGTGCAACCATCTTCTCAGAATATAATGAGATCATGATCACAGGCCAGATCACAGTATGTAGGATGAGCTTATGGTAAATTATTGATAGAATCTTACCAGAAAGGCTCTGCTGGTTGGGAGAGGGAGTAACTGAAGAAATGCCAGCGAGTGTTCTTGGTTAAAGATGTGCACTCACAGCTGATCAGGAATAAAGTAGGTTTGGAGGAATTCCCACCCTTGAGACAGGACTTAGACTTCTGGTTCTTCTAGGTACCATTGACAACGTTAATTACCAGCAGTTTCGTACTGCTGCTTTGCCTTCAGATTCCTGAGGCATTGAGAGGCATTTGTGCTTAAACAGTTGTTGAAACCTTAGTATTTAGGAAAGTCTTTTGGACTTTTTTTTCAGGCAACTGTGTATTTTTTTTTTTCCCTTGGACACTACTGAAGTTAGGGAAGTTATGCTCTTTGTTGGATTTCTCTTTTAAGGTTTCATTACTCTTCTGTTCAGAAAAAGATGTTTGCCTCCTAGGTATTTGCTTTCAAGGATCATATTATATCTTCTGTTACCAGAAGGAGTTGGAACTTTTTTTTAAGTGAAAGATTTGGATTGCATGTGAGGACACAATTCAACAAACCAGATTTTATATAAGTCTTCAAATTTGGCAATATTCTGTGTCACACTAATCTCATTTGCTTTTGTTCTCTTGTTTTCCTGTTTTTTTTTCCTGCCCACCTTTTCTGCGTGTCCATCTTCTGTCCTGAGAAATCGTTACTTTGGACTTTCTCCTGCTGATGTCAGTGTGACATAGTTCACATCAGCATCCTCATCTCAGTGTGAGCTTTAGGTGAAAATGGGGCTGTGGTGCTCAGCGGGCTCCGTACGAGCACAGGAGTGTGCCCCCCTTGGGCATCAGCCAGGACGTGCTGGTGCACGAGCTGCAAAGCTGGGTGGTTTTGTGTATTTAATGTTAAAATTAAGTCAGATGTTTGTTTGCTTTCAAAGAGTAAGATTGAAGACCTGAAGAGAACGGAACTGGAGGTTTCCTTGAGCAGTGCTGTGGGTGGTAGTTAAAAATATCCTGCTACCCTTGACTGATATTACTCTTTTGTTAAGTACATGTTTCTTCCAGTGTGGGCTTGTCTCCTAAATTACCACTTTTTTCCTCCTCCTCCGTCCTCGGCCCCCCGTTTCTTTCTGAGAGTCTGATCTCTGTGATGTCTACAGAGCATCAGCCCTCACGTTGCTGCAGTGGTTCTCTGGCAGTTCCTGTCCTGTTTCTCTCTTGCTGAGTAAATGCTTGTGGTGGGAACAGGTTAACAGAACTGGGAAGTGTGGATCCAGCAATTCGTGTGAAATGCTTCCTGACAACATAAGACTTTTTCTTCCTTCAGGATTTCTTGTTTACTCATTAAAAATTGTTATATTTTATCTGCTCTTACTGAATGTTGTGTGGCTTAACCAACTTGGAATTGTCATTAATTATTGTTTTTCTTGCCAAATGTATGCACAGTTTTCAGCAATTGAATGTGTTAATTCAGCAGCTCAGAAGAATTAAAACTGTTCTTTCATCTTCTTCCCTTCTGCTGTCAGGCAGCAGAGCTAGACTCTCTGAAACATCTGAAGAACATAGCTTCTGCAGTGTGCTTCAGACAAAATTGTGTTTCAGTTTAGACAGGGGTGTAGGATAGGCTGTAATTCACTTTTCTATTGCTCTCTATGTTAGCATGACTGTAACGCAACCTGAGGACACTACAGCAGTTTCCAGTGTGCTGCTGATGTAGTCTCCAGAAGCACCATCTGCTGCAAGGGTTGATACTGGTATTCCCATGAAGAAACGTTTGGTGCTTGTGACATTTAAAGGCTGTCTTCAGCTTTATTTGAGATACTTTATTATGGTTATTGCATTTAGTAAAAGGGCAGGAAAAAGTGATTTTGTGACTTGTTTGAATAAGCAATGTTACAATTCTGATAGATACTGTTTTTATTAACTCAGCACGGTAATTTTTAAGGCCCTGTCTACGTTCTTTCACATTAGCCAGGGAATTGTTGTACACAAAGTTTGTAGAAGTGGAGGCAGAAATGAAGTCATCAGTTGTGTCTCTCTAGTGCTTGCAGAAGCCGGACCTGGCCAGCGACACGAAGGACAAGGAGTACAAGCCCCACGACATCCCCCAGAGGCAGTCGGTCCAGCCCTCGGAAAGCTGTCCCCCCGCCCGCCGCGCCAAGCGCCTGAGGGCAGAGGTGAGGAGCTGCCTGGCAGCAGCTTTGAGCTCAGTCACAGGACAGTGGTGCTTCAGTCGGGTCACCGAGTGTGTCTGCACAGTGAACAGCTGTCTAGTGTCCCTCTGCCATTGTCAAACGTACCTAAATAGCTGTAAACAAATGCATTGTGAGTTATACCGTCAGGATTATGGCAAATGTTAAAATGTGGTGCTGAGGTTTGGGACTGCTGAGAGGCTCTTCTGCTGAAGCTGTTCCACTTATACAGTAGATACGTGTGTATACCATAATAATGTTTTTACCATGATTATAAACAGTATGAGGCTCATAGATTAAAATACAGGTGACAAATTCTAGAAATGAAGCTTGTCTGTTGCAGCTTTAATCTCCATCATTTCCTGAGAGGACAGTAGTTATTCTTTAAATATATTGGGAGGTTTCTGTAAATCTTTATTGAGCTGAAGCCAGATGATAAAGCAGAGAAGGTTTTTATTAGAACATTGTTGTATTTCATTTTTTACTGACTTCTACCAGTTAGTGGTATGTTCACCATGCAAGATAAGGGAAAAAAGTTGCATAATGTTAGGTCAGTATGGTTTAGTACAACAACACAGGATTAATCTTATATCTGCTTAAGAAATAATTATTTGGATAAGCCTGAAATTTACTGGTAATATCTGCGTAGAGTTCTCAGGTGAAGATGTATTTTAGGAGATCATGATGAGTTTCCTTCGTTGCTGAAAAAATAATACTGTGACTTCAGTCTTCCCAGAGGGATGTTCCTGCCCTCAGGGGGCTCACTATTGCTTTTGCTGGAGCAGGTGAAGTGGAGGGGAGGTGTGTGCTCAGGAGATGGTCTCCTTAGTGGTGATGACATGAGTCAGGAAGGTCGTGACTGACCCTGTTTAAAATCCTGATTTCTCCTTAAGCTCATTTCAGGTTCTCTGTTAACTCCCATTGTTCTAGTCTTGGTCTTTATTACTACCAAGTAGTTCAGTTTAGTTGTTGCAAATTCTGCATATAATTTTTATGAGTTAATAAGTTACAATTAAGGTTTTCTAAAGCTTTTCCACTCAGATACACAGTTACAAGTAGATTTATAATTCTGAGAAAACCTCAGTAGTTTGGTCTGAAACTTTCCATCTGCCTGTGGTTGGAAGATGCTCTGTCTCACATACCCTTTAAAGACTAACAGCAGGGCAAGCATACACTGAAATTTTGGCTGTTTCCCTGTCAGTGGTGTCAGATGACACAAACTAACAAAGAATTCCCATTCTTGTCATTTCTGTGGAGGTTAGCTGCTCCTGCTTGGCCAAAACGCGAGGTTACCCTCTCATCCCTGTCCCTGAACTACTCATGCCATGCACCTCTTTTTTGTGGAAAGAAAATACTTGATTTGAGAATAGGACTGAAACCTTCAGAGCTGAGTCTGAATTATGCAGCATGGACTGACTCATTTAGCAAGGAGCTCTAGTGCTTTAAGAAAATGATTTCCAAAAGTTAGGCTTTGTTAATGTGAGTGTTTCTGTTCCATTTCAGTGCAAAGTTGGCTAAGCTGATAAATCAATTTTACACTGAAGCTACAAGCAGTTGATTTTTGCACTGATCTGGTTGCAGAGTATAAAGTTCAGTTCACATGTCTCAACGTTTTGGTCTAGTGAGGTATACATGGGTTTGTCAGTGTCCTGAATGGTGGAACCTGAGTTCATTCTCATGTTTACCAGTCTGATGTTTCCCACTTTTAAAATACGTTATCACCACCTACTATAAACCTTTAAAATGAAGTGAACTACAGGAAGAACTGTGAATTATCATTACTAGCAAAAAATGCAGCCTGTGGGATGTCAGTCTGCAGTGTAAAGACATCTTGCCCTTTCTTACCTGGTGAGTAAACACTTAGGAGAAAACACTTGTAACTAGGAAGAAAAAGGGCAATGACAGCTCGTTTTGAGATGCAAGGATTTAGATGCTGATGTAGGAAAGATAAGTGTAAAAGACCAGAACAATGCTGTGGAAGTGAGAGGGAGAATAGATATGATGAAAGGCTCAGGCTGAAAAAAAGAGCTGCTCTTGTGAAGCTAAATACAGGCTTAAGCACAGAATATAGATACAACTCAGAAGTTAAAGATGCAGAAGTTGAGGCATCTGTTACTGCATTGCTGAGGATCAGGGCAAAGTGATCTCGATTCAGCATTACTAAAGATCATGAACAGCATCCTTTTTGCCTGTCTCGAGCAATGGAACCCTTGCCTGTCTCATGGACACAGGGACTTGGACAAAGAGAACACGAAAAGTGAAGGGAAAATAATGTCAAAACCACCTCTGTAAAAATCCCAAACAAAAACAGAAAAATAGACCCTGAAGAGAACGCTAACACACCCTGCCCTTCAAATACCTGATGATACATCAGGCTGGAAGTCCTGCTTTAGAGCTAGGCTGACAAGTCCCATTGTTTGGGGTTCAGGGAGTGGTTGATAGTGGACTGACTCTGGTGAGTAGCAAGAGAATGGTTGCACGACCTCATTTCCTTAAATTAGGCTTAAAAAATACAGTGTTGAAGAAACCAGCCATTACGCTGAGGGGTTTGAGAATTGTTCTCTCGCAGTCTCAAAACTTCAGGGGAGGAATACCAGAATTAAATAGAAAAACATTCTGTGTTGAAAGCTCTACAATATGCTGAGTTCCCTGCTTAGAAGGCTGGCGTATGTTCTGCTTCTCCACAGTGAAAGAAAATTTATGAAAGCCCAAAGTTCCTTGCCCCTTTTTACTAAGTTCCACTGAAATAAAACTAAAACCATGGTATCATTAGTGAGTGCAGTCTTTTGGCAGGATTTCCTTTCAAATCTCTCCAGGTTGTTCCCTGTATTATTTGTCTCTGAACTCTTTTTTTAAATAATTGAACACAAATATTTCAGAAATTCAAGTTGCCTTTTTAGATTTGTTTGTGAGTATGAAATGGTTCTTTGAGTTTAAATGAAGTCCTCAATCCTTATCTGAGTCCCATCTGCCTGGAGTTTTCCTCAGTCAAGTTACAAGTTTTAACACCTCCATTGTACCTCAGTGAAATGGCTGTGTCTCACATCAGCTTGTTCCCTGAACCTCTGCAGTCCTCTCTTGGCATTTATCAGAGTGGATTAAGAATTTTATACAGAAATATTTTAATTTGGAAGTCAAAATTGTATTTTTCACAACACCACCCACGAGTTCTTTCTTTTCTCAGCTCTTGAAAGTATTGAAATGTGTATTTTAAAACCTTGCAGGGTCTGACAACAAAGTTACTTATCTGCAGAGACTTGCAGAGAGTTATTTAGATCTCAGTAGGCACTGAGTCAGGACTCCAAGGGCTGGACACAGGCAGCTTTGCCCCTTCCCCAGAGCAGCTGAGGGGCTGGAGCTGGTGCAGGGGGCTCCTGGGGCCCGCAGCCTTCCTGCAGCCCTGCGGGCAGTGCCCAGCGTCTGCTCCAGAATGGTCCAAGCAGCCCTGAGTTTAGATGGCAGTGGACATCCTCCCAAATACAAATGGAAGACTAGAGTGTTCCACCTGTGGACATTGCTGATCTTTTAAATTTATTTATTTTTTTTAAGGCAACCAATATTAAGACTGAATCTGACGCTCCCGAAGCCAGAACTCACAATCTGAGGCGCAGGATGGGATGTGCACCTCCCAAGTGTGAAAGTGGTAAGTGGCCAGGGGGAGCAAAACAAAAGGTGAATGCAATTTCTGTTACTTTGTACAAACTCGTTTTAAGACCAGGATTAAATTCATTAGTTGGAACAATTCAAAGTATTTTTAAAAAATACTTCTGCTGACTTAGTTTTTTAACTTGGAATTAATTGCAAAAATTCTTTTCATGGCTTTGAAATCTTTTTTCTTTTGTAAGTGGCTGAGTTTTTTGGAGAAAAGAAATTTTCAAAAAGAAAAAATTCTACTTTTTTAAACTTCATTGTCTCTTATGGAGTAAAAGGAAATGAGATTTGAGCCATATTTCTATTTTATATTTTAAATAGCTAGCAAGAATCAAATAGTTTTAAACAGTGAACTCTTTTAAGAATGTATCAGATTTCAGACTCTTCTAGGAAAGAATTTCTATTTGAAATCAGGGCATGAAACTCAGGAAGGCAAAAGGTAGTGTGTTGTGAACTTAACAATGAAGTTCCCATAATATGATTTTTAAATTCCTTCTGTCAATAGTCCTGACTCTAGTTATCTGCCCTTAAGAAATAATGAGTTCAGGCTGCGAAGAAATGTTTAATGCTATCAAACAGAAGAATAAGCTTTTTGACAAATAATTTGGCAAAGCAAATAGAAGAACTGTTTACAGCTACTTAATCATTGAAACAACTAAGCCATGTGTCAGTCTCCTTTGTTCATTCAAAATCTTTTTTCATGAATCTCTGTAAATTTTGCTCTTTTTTAACTTGAAGGTTTTTTTCTTTATGGAGAGTCTCTAGGCAGTAACCTTTTTCCCCTCTGAAGAGAAGGAAAAAGCTCTAGACATTTTTTTTAACACTTAAGTTTCTGACAGACATAGACATTTTTCACTTCAATATATTTAGTAGCTCTTGGATGCCAAGAAATGCTTTGGATTCCCTCATATTGGGGTGTGAAGGTCTCTAGCTATCTTGTAACTTTAGCTAAGGACTTCATTGTCCCCTTGTCTTTAGCACTGGGGCCCTGGGATTCTCCACACTCTGTTGTGTGGATTTGGGTGTGGGTTTTCTCATTCTTCTGTATAACATCAGGAATGGAGACTTGAGTAGAGACATGCCCAAATTAAGCAAGAGTGCAAGAATCTAGAGGAACTGCTTCTTTGTCAGGTCACTTCTGCTGGATGCTGATCGTTGATGACACAGCTTCATGAAAGCTACCACTGCAAGAAACAAGTGTGAAGATCATCTTAGGAAGCTGTCGTGTTGTTTCATGTGTCCATGTGACACGCTGCTGTAAAACTGGGGGAGTAATTCAGCCACGTTTCTTAACATCACAGAGAAACAAGATCCTAGTTTATGCAGATACTCGTCGTATAATTTAAGTGGGATTTAAAATACTCAAAAAATGCAGGCTTGTGGTAGTCATTGCTAGCTTGTGATGGCATGCTTGGTTTTTCTGATGATATCAGCTTCTGTAGGCCTTGCAAGTGTTCAAATCTTATCTTAGCCAGCTGAAACAAGTGTGTGTGGGATCACAATTAATTCCACAAGTAACCTGATGTGATGCAGTCTGATAAGTAATAACAAAATAAATAATAAGTAATGCTAAGTGTTAAAACATTTTGTAATAGCCTCTTTTTCTTTTCCTGTTACACCAGAAAAGGAAATTCATAGCACAGTGAAACTTCCTGAGAAGAAAGAACAAGCTGGGGAGCCAGAGAAAGACAAATCCAAAGTCCGATCCAAAAAACCCACTAATGCTGTGAGTACATGCTGCCTTCCTGTGGCTTTGCTGTGCCTGCAGGTGTTTCTGGGTTCCTCTTGGGTGTGTAGTGACATCTCAAGTCATTTATATCACACTAGGGACTCTTGTATTCTTCATGTAACCCTGTGCTTGAAACAAAGCAGAATCTGTGTCTTCTGGGATATGCACAGGCATAAAGCTTCCTGCTGTTACAAAGCTGAAAATATCAGGATAGTTGAGTTTCACTGTCTCTAACTAAATAACATGTTATCTGCCTCCAAGGTACAGTCTCAAAACAAGCATTTTAAAAGAAGAGTCCAAATAGAAGTGGTTCTTCTGTGAACTGATATCTCTCCCCATTGTTCTTTAACTTCAAGGGAGCTTAATCCAAGCTCTGTCACCCAGCTCTCCAGAAGACCTGCCACTTACTCCACAATTTCAGCACTAACCTATAGCTAGATACCTGAGAATAAAATGTGCAGATACAAAAAGCCTGCCCCCCCAGTAAAGAAGTTTGGGGAGAGGGAGCAGGAGATGTTTGTTTTACATAAGGCAACAGGGTCTACTTGACCTCACAGCTCTAGTCTGTATTTGAGAAGAGCCTTCCAGTCTGTTGCTAGTGAAGGTGTGGTGGAGGGCAGGCAGCAGACAACCCTTCCCACGTTTGGAGTGCTTCTCCTTGGACCTTGGTAGCTGCTGTGTGAAGCCTCCATCAGACAACTTCAGCTGCTGCCCTCCTGCCCCAAAGCACACAGCTCTCCTGGGACTGGAGCCTTTCCAGATGAAAATGAAGGTCTTGACCACTATCTCTGGGGAGAAAGAGGAACATGCCCATCAGGAAGAACCTCCTTCTGTCTTCTGAGGCTTTAAACAGTTGTTCTCAGAGGAGGATGTGCACACATGCTGCACGTGAAAGCAACAAGAAAAAGGGTTTGTGAGGGACCAGCAGGTTTCCTGTTGTGCCTGCTGAATCCCCAGTGCTGCTAGACTGGTTTAAACTGGCCTGGGCATGGGGTCAAGTCTAATGTCAGTTGGAAAAACAACACATGGAAGAGTTTGCAGCCCTTGTGGCCATTCCTTAAATGACAGAAGGGGTTATCTAAACTGCTCCGTCACTATTTGCTGTGTGCTTGTTGCATTTCTAGTTGAGACATGAAGTAAAAATAAGCTTTGACAAATGTCACAGATAACCGAGTTACCAAACTGCTCTGTCACCAGGAGTTACCTTAAGTGCTCAAATTCCCACTCTGGCAATTTTTTGTTACAGGTGGATTTGTATGTGTGTCTCTTATGTGGCAGTGGTAACGATGAGGACCGTCTCCTGTTGTGTGATGGCTGTGATGACAGTTACCATACTTTTTGTTTAATTCCACCCCTTCATGATGTTCCCAAAGGGGACTGGAGGTGTCCCCAGTGTTTGGCTCAGGTAATCTGACAAACCATAAAAGTTAGGCTGAAGCTTTTATTTTGTGGGGTTTTAAAAAAACTTGATCCTAGGGATTGAAAATACAATTTGTTACTACTTATGGTTGTGCAAACAAGGTGATAGAGGTAAAGCTAAAATGAAGACTGGGCATGCTTCAAACTGGAAAGCAGTTGATATTTTAGAGCCAAAAATTGATGTGCCTTTAAAGAATACATTAGATTTTAATTGACACCTTTCCTCTGTATTTAAAATTGTAGTCTCGCTCGGTGTGTCAGTGTGGAGGTTTGTGCATCTGTTTTTTGATTAGCTTTTTATTAGAGGAAGGAGAAATTAGGCATATTACTTCATTAACGTTTATGCAGACATTAATAAATGTTGTGGTTTGGTGAATTAAACAGAGTAGTTTCTTCTTCTGACCCCTTGTGACTCGGGGCAGTCGTTTCATTTCAGTCAGGGTCCCGCTGCCTTATCCATCAGCTGCTCTAAGAGTGGCCCATTTGTGTAAAAGCAGAGAACAGATGATCTTATTGATACATTATAAGAGTAATTATCTTTACAATTGCAGGAGTGTAATAAGCCTCAAGAAGCATTTGGGTTTGAACAAGCAGCAAGGGACTACACGCTTCGGACGTTTGGAGAAATGGCAGATGCCTTCAAGTCAGACTATTTTAACATGCCAGTACACGTATGTTCATGGTTTTATCCTCATCCCATAAGTCATTTTTTGTGCTTAGTTAAAATATACAACTTTTGAGAGGGAGGGAGGAATTCTGGTTTTGTATGGGATGGAACCTCAAGTCAGAGGTTCTCATTTCTGGCAGTGAATCCCTGTTCTTGCTGGTGACACGTCACCCCCACTTTTCAAGAAGTGTCTGTAAGGAAGAGAAAACTGCCACCCATTCCTGAGGAGAGAGCAGCACCATGTGCTGGGGGAACCAGATTTCTGCTGCTTTTTTTTCTTCTCTTGTGAAAAACAGTTTTGACTTGGGGAAGTGCTTCAAGCTAATGGAGATTCCTCCCAGATAGCTTTTGTGCACATGCTTCTTACATACTGATCCTTCACTATATACTCCTTGTTTTTCTCCTTCCCATGTCTAGATGGTCCCCACCGAGCTGGTTGAAAAGGAATTCTGGAGACTTGTTAGTACCATTGAAGAGGATGTGACAGTAGAATATGGAGCTGATATTGCTTCAAAGGAATTTGGCAGTGGCTTCCCAGTTAGGGGTGGGAAATTTAAAGTGAGACCAGATGAAGAGGTAGGTCTTTATTAGCTCACTGGGTATGTATTTAAGTTTTTATTTAAATAAGTCTCTGGTTCAAAGCACAACAATGGAACTGCATTGCAAAGTGTTTATCTGGCACAGTGTATGAAGAGAATTACATCAGAGTTTTGAATAAATAAAATTTGCTGTGATCAAACGTTAAAAGCCACAGGTTTATCTTAGAAGTTAATAAATAACTTCCAAACTAATTTTAACAAAGAAGGTCAGATATGGTTTGTGAAAGGAGCAAAGACAATGGAGATTTTGTGCTTTGATTCATTGACCCGTTTCTTCTGTTTCTCAGTTGGGAAAGATCCTTTTATTCTGTTGCCTTCTTAGCAGTTTTAATTTCTTGGCTTTTTTTCCCTTTATGTTGTATATACCTGTGACTGTTCTGTTTGATTTTCAGGAATACCTTGATAGTGGCTGGAACTTAAACAACATGCCTGTGATGGAGCAGTCTGTTCTTGCTCACATCACTGCAGACATATGTGGGATGAAGTTACCCTGGCTGTATGTGGGGATGTGCTTTTCCTCATTTTGTTGGCATATAGAAGACCACTGGAGCTACTCCATTAACTATCTGCATTGGTGAGTTTGAGGAATGGACTCAGGCTGAGAAGTAATCTCCCTTTCATTCCACCTTCCCCTTTTTAATTAGGGGACTGAAACCAGATTGCTGGAGTTGAGGCCAGAATAGCCCTTGCAGTGCTGCAGCAGCAGGGCTGCCTGTCAGTGTGACTCCTGCATTGATTGGCTTTTGGACAAGAAGTTGTGTTTTGGAAAGAGACATCCAGTCCCAGTTTTAAAAATCCATGAGAGGTGCAGCAGATACTCCATCAAATATTTTATTATCCTCAGTATAAAACTAAAACCCATGCAAGTTTTTTTCATTTTTTGAAATCTAGCTTCAACCAACAATCTTAGGATCTTGCATATTTTTTTGTCTGTTAGATGGATCATTCTATCATAAATCCTCTCATCAAGTGAGCACTTGTCAGCTGTAATCAGGACAGATCTTTGCTATCTCACTGGTATTCTGAACAAATTGAACTCCTTTATCTTCTCACATCTGCTTTTCTAGAGTTTGAATTATTCTTGTCAGTCTTCCTGAAGCCTGTCAAGCTCTTTC